ACATATATATGTATATGTATGTACGCATGTATGCATGTATGCATGTATGCATGTATGCATGCATGCATGCATGCATGCATGCATGTATGTATGTATGTATGTATGTGTATGTATTTGTATTTGTATGTGTGTGTGTGTTTGCATGTGTATGTGTATGTGCATGTGTATGTGTACATGTGCATGTACATGTACATGTAGACTTTAGATGTAGATGTAGATGTAGATGCATATGTATATGTACATGTACATGTACATGTACATGTATGTGTGTGTATATATATGTATATATATATATATTTATGTGTATATATATATAAGAGAGAGAGACCCGAAAACATGCCCAAATCCAACTAAAACAAAAATGCCCTTCTGAATTGCGGGGGATTTGGGAGTGCCGTACTCAGGCGTCGTCTATTGAGGATCCTTAGTTGGGGTCTATCGCAATGTACCTTATTTCTGCAAATCCCAAGTTTGATAAGGACGAGGTTTGGGTTCATGAGACGTTTGGGCTGTCTCTCAATGTCATGGTCATCCCGGGCCCATGTATGGCCTGTGGGCCCATCCCTCACAGTGCCCTCAATGCCAAGCCCTCAACTCCAAAGACGGCTTGATGTATATGGGATGCGAAGCTGTTTTGTCCTGAAACCCACCTTTGGTTTTTAGGGCATCCTCTTCTCCGAAACGATCTCGGCTTCCATCTTAGACACAGAATCCTTGGAGGATCAGGGGTGCTTTGCTGTAATAGTAATAACTGAAAAGGCCATAATGCAATGCAATACAACCTACCATAACGTACCCACCCATACCATACCGTGCCATTCTATGCTATACTATACTATCTACACTAACTCTACTGTACTCTACCCTACGATGCTACACTAAACGTACTACCAGTATACGATGATGTTGGGTTGTAGGATTGCGGCTCCAGGCCTCCAAGTCTCCATTGGCTTCCTTCATGGAAGTGGCCTGTGGCGCAGGGAGACATTTTAGAGAGCCCAATACCCCTTAATTACGGGAATATACCTTAAATCAGAATATTAAGCCTCTTATGATTTAAGGTAAATTCCTCAATTACGGGGTATTGGGCTCCCTGGGCATGTAGAATCTACTGTGACCTGGCCTGATGGGCTGGGCAGGCAACCTTTCACCTGATGGGGCTCATATAGCCCTACCATATTATAGCAAGAGTAACCTTTGTAGAACAAGGGTACTCCGCAAGTGACCCCTTGCTTAAGGTCTTCGGAAAGCCCTTTAACTTCATAAAAATAATGCCAGACTTAACCATTGTCATATTAACTATACTGCATAGTAGTTAGTTATAGTAATTAGACTAAATAGTAAGTATAGTAACAACGAGGTGCCCCTGTAGTCCCTGAAACCACAGGCGTGGCCGAAGCCCGACTACATGCAGGAGAAGATTGAGGCGATGGCTTTTTGGGGCCTGTTTTGGGTTTTGGGTTTAGAGTTTAGGGTTTATAGGGTTTAGGGTTTAGGCTTTGGGTTTAGGGAGAATGGCTTACTTGCAATAAGGATTCTTGTCAGGGCCTTAGGCGGCTTTCGAGGGTTCATGGTCTGGGGTGTCCAGGATTTGTGGTGTTAGGCGTAAGGGTTGGGGCTTTGGGTTTAGGGTCTTGGGGTTTAGTGGTCCAGGGTTTTACGGGTGAGGTTTTCAGAAAAGCGCGGTATACGTACAGATGTACATACATACATATATATATATATCTGTATGTTGATATATATATATATATTTATCTATCTATCTGTGTGTGTGTGTCTGCGTGTGTGCCTCAAGTATGTTTATGGGAATTCTCTAATTTCTAGCTTTACATTTATATCTATGTATGTGTGTGTATATATATATAAATGTGTGTGTGTGTTTATGTAACGTACATATGTGTATGTATATTTATACATCACTAGTTATGTGTGCATATATATATATATGTGTGTATGTATGTATATATATATATGCATACATACACACATGCAGCTGTCTTGCAACCCCAGAAGGCCTCGGATACAGGAGTCCCATCGAACAAATCCGCTGCCCCCAGGTAAGCCCTAGACCCCTGGACCTTCTATAGATAGGCCTGTCCCGAAACAGAAACATATCAGTGTCTAGGTAGTAAGACCGTGGACGTGGCTGCTTTGAGGCGTTTTCAGCTTGAGCCTCCACCTCCCCAATTTTGCAGCTTCACGCCTTGTACCGAAAACCAGATCCCTACATCTGTACCCTCCAACTAACGCCTCAACCCAAAACCCCTGAACCCTAAACCGCGCCTTAAAGTTCTTTCACTTGATTCCCTCCCCAGCAAACTCTGCATGGTAGATAACCTCCACGAGTTTCCCGAGCCTAAAGCCAACCAGCTCTCAGAAGGGACGTACAGCATCGGATCAAATCCTACGAAGAGCCCTGTAATCTTATGCCAGCGTAGATCCCAAACATCGACAAAGTCACCGAAGGGCACCCAAGAGGTAGGCTCCCAGCGGAACTGTAGAAAGGTTTATGGTTTAAGGGTTTAGCGGTTTAGGGAGTTAGGGGTTTAGGGTTTAGGGATTTCGACTCTAGCAGGAAACGTGTAGCACGCCCTGAAAGTACGCCAAAGGGGGACTTCAGGCGAGCTCACTGAAAACCAATGGCCCGACCTGTAAGGCATCGGGGAATACACCGGACAGAGAACCCTGTAACCTGTAGGGGCTGATTCATGTCCAATACTATTTTTTTACCATTTTGTCATTGTTTATTTCGTTTTTAAATTTTATTTTGTTTTTTTGGGGGGGGTCCTTATCATAGTTTTTCCAGTGTAACATACCCCAAGACCCTGTTCTGACTATTAAGGCCCCTACTTTCACCCCATCTCCTCAACACGAAGCCGTCTTTGAAATGTGGGAGGCAAAGGCCGTCCGAGATGGTGGACAGGGAGCCTACCGTGATCGAACCTATGCCACGCTGCCGGCTGTTAGGGTTAAGGGTTTAGGGGTTAGCTTAACCCAGGGTTTAGGGGTTTAGGGTGTAGCTTAACCCCTAGAAGTTTTGGTAAAACAATGGCCCAAAACCTACAAAGGGCTATGATTCTACATATTTTGGGGGTCCAGGTAGGGCTGAGGGTGTAGGCGATGGAGAGGGTTTTCACCGGGTTCCCAGACGATTGGTATAGGTTTCAGGGCTCAGGGCTTTGGAAGGCTTTGTGGCTTTAAGAATAGATTATAACTCAATATAGTATGACATAAGATGATGAAATAAGATATGATATGTTCAATCTTTCTAACATGCAAAAGCTACATGAGGTCATTGAGCTTCGTGTTGGTACTGCTACCATTACAAAAACTTGTTATTAATACGTAAATAATATATATATATATATACATATATATTATATATATATATGTTTGTAGTTATATATTAGCATTATTCTGAGCATTATCAGTATGATTCGTATGATTATTACCGCTTTAAGGAACCCCATATCCCTCTCCTGAAGGCACGGAAAGATCTTTTCCAAGTAGGGTTTCATTGGCAATACATGCAATGCAACACTCCACGGGCGGAAGCCGCTGCCGAATCCCACCGGAAAGATGCAACTGAGGAGATCGTTACACGATGGACGCAGCACACCAAGATCGAGCCTTTTGGTTCCCATCAGATATGCAAAAACTCGGAGATTGAGAGTTTTGGATTAGGTTGTTCAGGGCCTCCGTGCTTTGTACCGACATACGCAAGGGTTCTATGAGTCTGAATTACAAGGGTTCAAGGTGGCTTCATTCAAAATAGTGAGCATATTTTCGGTGCATATGTTTGTTAATTAGCTGAAAGGTTCGCTTCACACACTTGAGCTGCTGTTCGGGGCTCCTGAGAATATTGGTGAATATGTACTTGTGTGGAAGTCTTGTTTGAGAAGGCTCAAAGTAACAATAACAACAGTACGTAACACTAACAGTTGTCATAGCAATAATATTTAAGAGTAGCAATAGCAACAATGATAGAGTTCTTTTTTGTAGAAACATTCTGTAGATGATATAAATCCTGCACTACCTGAAGGACCCTAAACTATGGGAACTATGGTATAGTCTTTATTAATGGGTAAACTAATGCAGGATGTATATCATCAACCATGGTCCAAGCGCTCGTAGCCGCCCCAAACCCTACACCCTAAACCCTAAACCGTCCGAAATCCCGGCTTGAGCCCCAACCCCTCCAGCGCCTAGGTACCGGCCTCACGCGAAGGCTCCGGGATCGAAAAGCCACATCAGGCCGGATTTGTTAGGGGTTGGAGCATTAGGGGTTCTAGGGTTTAGAGCTTTAGGGTTGAGGGGTTAATAGGATTTTGTTCTTTGTGTTTTAGGGTTTGGGGCTTAACCCTTAGCATCAAAATAGCCCAAAAGCCTTCTATAATAGGGTCTTTGGGCCCAAAAGCCTTAAAATATGAGTCCTTCGATGCTAAGGGTGAGGGGGCTCTAGGGTTCAGAGTTTCAGGCCTCAGGGTTTAAGGCGCTCATGGCTTTGGTTTGGGATGTTTGAACGTTTCTTTCAGGATCCTGCTGGTGTTTAGGGTTTTAGGGTTTAGGGTTTAGTGTTTAGGGTTTAGGGGTGTAGCGTTTAGGGCTTTAGGATTTAGGGGTTTAGAGTTTAGCGTTTAGGGTTTAGGGTTTAGGGGTGTTTCTAGTACTAGGACGTCAGAAGCCATGCTGCAAGCGGGGCTGCAAGCGGCTTGTAAGGTTGCAGCGTTTGGCTGCGACGGCAACTCATGTGTTGATTATGCTTGAAACACACTCCCTCCCCTTAACCCCAAGCCCTAAACCCTTAAAGCCTAAATCCCTGTACCCCTATGTAAACCCGTAAACCTACGTACCTGCGCCAACAATAACCTGATGTTGCTTATCCGTTTCTGTGGAGTTTCCAATAAATTCGGGACTGGGGATACACAATGCGGAGTATATAGTATCCAACCTGCAATATCTAGTAAATACCACATAACATACAGTATATAACATATACGAAATCGTATAATCCGTGATAGTCCAACTAAGCAATCACTTTCGTGTTCGGCCTTTTGGCTTTTGATCGTACGCTCACGGCTGCGCCTACTCCCCTAAGTTTACAAGAAGGCCTGGAGTCTTAAAGTCCTTAGCCATATAACGAAGCATACTAAAACTAAGCCCAACAAACGAGTCACACCCAAATCCCCTCACAGCTCACAACTCGAAAAAAACGGTGTTCTTGTTAAGGAACTTAGTTAAAGTTGCCACAACAAAAGCCCTAATATTTACTATAGCTCCCTATGATGGTAACTTAAATCGAGCTCCTTAACAAGAACCCAGAAAAAGGCTGCAGCCGAAGCCCTGAAAGGTATGAGAAGTACAGCAAAGCCAAGACGGTCGGCTGTGGGCTCAGATCCCATCTCAAGTTATGTAGCAGGTTTGGGAGTTTAGAGTTTTGGGTTTAGGCCCAAATGCGTGCCAACATTCCACCTCCGGGTTCCTCGGTATCAGTAGAAATAAAATGTAAAGGAGCCCAGACACCTGTTCTAATTGTCAAGGTCCCTGCCATAATGTTAGAGTCAGAGGCCTCGAATAAAGCACTTTTGGTTCACCTGAGACAGCTAACAACATCTCCTGTTCCCGAGTTCCTTGCCTTCCAGCCTGTATGGATTCGCCTTCCACGGTTTCGGGTTCAGTGTTTAGGAGTCGAACTTAGGTCAGGTTCTGACAGTCTGATCCAGATCTTTTCACACACCTAAACATAAACCCGAAGCCCCCAAACCCGCAACCCTTAAGCGTGGCTGCAGTTCACAGGTCCAAAAGCCTACTTTGTTTGTTTAGTGAACGCGCATTGAACTGCAGTGGGCTTCCGCCGTCTTGCGAACCAAATAGTGGTTTTGGAATTGCGACATTTCAAGCAAGTACATCGCAGAGTTGCAGCTACGGTTGATGTTGCTGTGTTGAAGCCTAGACTGAAACCAGAGCTTTTCCGAAGTCCGAGCATGTCCGAGCTTTGTGGAGCCTGCAGCGGCCCCAACCCCGCACATTGAACCCGGTATCCGAAACAGAGTGACTGGACCTAACACCCGACTTCTTAAGCCCAAAGCCCCGAGCTCTATGCGACGTGTCTGGCCCATGGCACTGCATCCTCGAAGAAGCGGTATACTGGGTTCTAGACTACCATACTTGAGTACTTTTTTTTGTTATTGGACCTGTTATAAAGGAACCATTATAGAATAAAAGTCTATACTTTTTTCCCCCTGGTTACTTCAAAGTCCAGTTAGCACAAAACATGCACTCTCCCCCAAGCGCCTGCGCAGGGCTTTTCAGGTCCCTTCTTACCCAAAGGGTCCTTGGTACTGTTCTGGGGCATCCTTCCCCAAATCATAATAGCAATTCCTAATATAGAAACCCTACATTCTGCTATATCGGTACTTTGGACCCTTTGCGTTAGTGTTGGGGGTGGCACTATAGAGCTATCGTAAGTAGTCCAGGAGCTTTGCGGAACAACTTTCAACGGCAAAGGCATAGTTGCTGCCGATGGTGCCTCACCGGACCCCCCCGTCCATGAAGTATATAACCCTAACCTTCCAGGTACCTACTATATAGGCCCCCAGGGGCTCTAGTACCCTATATAGTAGGTACCTGGGAGGTTAGGATAAGTTGAGTACCTCAAACCAGTATATCCCTAAGCCCTCAGCCCCTCCGTCGCTCATTTGACGTTTTCGGCTTTTTCGATCTTCATGGGTTGTTTGTCTGGCTGAAGAGGAATCCGAACCCTAAAGCCTAAACCGGGTTTACGGTTTAGGGTTTAGGGTTTAGGGAACCCTGGACCATCAATGCTCAGAGCAGCGCAGAGGACAAGCGCTGAAACTCGGAAGCTATCCGATCGACTGGTGCTTCGACTATGAGCATGGGCCACCTGGCAACATCGCAGGGTTTAGGGTTTAGGGATTAGTGGTATAGAGGCTTTGGGGCGAACCCAAAACGACCCAAAGGACCGTGAAAGGGACCCTCAAAGGCAAATGCAGAAAGAGACCGTACGGCGAAGATAGCTTGGGTAGTTCTCTAGATTAGAGTCCTCTTTTAGGTCCCCAATGTAGTCCGGCGCCCTGATAAAAGGGCCCGAAAAGGGACCCTAATTTAGAGAACTACCCATATCCACCCGATCGTCCCGAATGTGTATATAGTATGCTGTACCCAACACCTTATTCAATTCTAAGCATTTATCTCACAGGTCCATATATATATATATACACAT